ACTAATTATAAATTTATAAAGCCTATATCTTAAAATTCTAAACCCTAAAAAATGTTTTGACACCTAAAACCCCCTAAACACTCAAAATTAAACCCTAATAGAGCATAATTAACCCAAACATAAATAATATAAAGAAAATATAATTTTGAAAAAGTGACATTTTTGTAAAGATTTCAAAAGTGTGACATTTTTGTAAAGTGGCACTTGAAAATTGGCATTTTTTAAAATTTTTCTAGTTTTAATGAAAAAAATTTCATTAGTTAATTTAAATGACATATTCTTTATAATCCTCATTGAATAATACATATAATTTTTTTCACCAATTGGCTATTCAATTAATATATAGAGGATTAGTGGCATTTTAAAAAAAATTTCAAAATGATGACATTTTTGAAAAGTGGCATTTCTATATGGTTTCAATATCATAAATTCTTATATAGTCAAACGACTCACGGATTTCGTATAGTAATTATAGTATTGATTAAAACTGATTTTTCGTATAATAATCTCCTCATTAACTAAAATTAAATTAGCAGCTTCTCGTTTGTAGTCTTAATGAATATTATCATGTTATTTTATTAAATAACATGTTTTGACATGATATCACGTTAGTTGATATAAAAAAAATATTATGTAACATTTTGCCACTTATCATTTTAGTAAGTCGACTAACACCTAGCTAGTAGCTAACTTCTCACCAAGTTTTAGACTCTATCGAACTTATGTTCTCCTTCCAAATATTTTCCATCTTCAACATTGCAATAAGCTTGTCGTACATCCCAAAAGAATTCAAAACTGCTTTCCCATGGATATTGTATTAAAAGCCTTTTTGTTTGACCGGAAGGAGTTTGCGGCAATAGAGTTATGGAAAAGGCCTATGAAGATGCTAGACATTGGTTGTTGGCGTAAAATTATAGTCGTCACATGAGTGAGGATCCTTTGAAATATAGTAGCTTTTCGCTTTACTCACTACAAAAAAAAATTGGATGAGCGACTTCCTACAACGTTACAAAATGGTTACAAAATCACAATTTGCGACTACTTATGGACTAAAATAAGTAGTCGCAAAATGTTGCTAAATTGTAATCACCTATGGAGGACTAAATTGTAACCATTTCAATTTGTAGTATATGCGAACACTTTAAGAGAAAGAAAAGTACTCGTATATTAACGACCTGAACTTTGCGACTACTATATGACCAAGTCTTGTAGTCGTTGGGTGGAAACTAATTTGTGACAACTTTTGTAGTTAAACTCAGTTGAGCAAGGCCAGTTCCAGACTGCATTTTCTGAATCCGAAAGCTTGTGACTAAGGTGAGGAGTTTGGAATTGTGTATTCACAATGCATAGTTATTTGTCTCCTTAACTATTGTATGTTAAGTTAGGAATGAATTATGTCAGGTAAGCATGATAAAAAATGTGATTAAACATGAGTATAGTTTGGTATTTTCATGGATGTGTGAAGTGTATATATGTGTTAAGTGATGTTGGACTGCAGATGTGGACATGGCGAGCTCACTACAGCCATACATAACGTATTTATAGATCCGACGATGTGTGTGAGTTAATCTGCGGTTGTGGACATGGTGAGTCCATTGCAGAAATGATTGTTGCGAGTGTGGATATGGCAAGCCCACTGTAGCTCCTATACGAGCCAACGGATCGATGAACCAGTACAACCCAAACATAAGAGGTCACTGGCTAACATAGTTAAGTTATTTGTAATTTAAAGTGCAAAGTATGATGGATGTCAAGTGGTAAGTTAAGTTGTGACATTTTAGAATAGTTAGGTTGCTTGTGTTTATGCATTGTAGATTGTATGTTGCTTGTGCCATGTCTTAGTTTAGTATATGCATTTAAAGTTATAAATTCTTATTATAATGTGAATCACTATGGGTTCATGTGGACGCCTTCTCCATTGAGTAATTCATTACCCATCCCTTTTTCCCTTTTTTTAGTGTGATGATGGTATATTGTTTGCTGGCGTTTCGGGTTATTCGTACCCGAACTCTGGGCTACTGCGAAAAACTTTACCTAATGTTTGAGACAGTGCATTTACATACCCGAACTCATCAAAATTCAAATTTTTCTACCCAAACTTATAAAATTAGGCGTATACGTACCTAACGAGTAACATAGTTAGTTTATCTGTTAAATGTGTTGACTGGGATGCTGAGTCATTTGAC